CCTCCCCCGCCGCCCCGCCGGGGCCGCAGGGGCCGCGGGGGCGGGCCCCAACTCTTCCGACTCAATCATTAATCACAGAATATTAACAATCCAGCTTGGCTGCACTTCTTGAAACCACCTCATCGCCGTGTTTCGGTCGGGCCGCTCCCCGCCACGCTCCGCCACGCTTCGGCCCTCGGGGTTCCCACATACCAAGTAACACGAAAGGATCGAGGCGACTCATATGAGCGTCTACGATCGAGATACTTAAAAGTCACAACTTTTAAAGCAAAAGTTTTACTATCCAGATAGATAAATACATGCGTTAGCCATATAAATTATGAACATGACCTGATCGTGACCTTTTCGTGTTGCTTGAAACCTCATCCAGGAGGCTTGATGTGAAAACGCACTCCGCGACTTGAAATTAATTTATAGAATGGAAATGGCGCCGAGGGCGCTTCTATGAAGCCCTCCCTCGGCGTCTGCGATGCGGATCAGCTGTGGCGGGGTCGTAGCAAGGGTTTGGGTCACAAAGTAAAAAAAAACACAGGTTTTAAAAAGAAACAAAATTGAATCAAACAAACAAGAGTGTGTTCAGCCGGAGAGGCACATAGCGGCTCACTGTGCAATCCACCACGCTCGAGTACCACAAAATATATCGGTCATGAGGCATCAATCTGACGTCCAGGGGACACAATTTGTTCAAAAAATGTGTCACGTAGTTTGAACGTGAGATGTTTGGTACTCGGGTGCGCGTGCGCGTGGGTGAGCGGGCCGTCAATTGACTCGTCAGGTAATTGACTCGATATGCGCGGTCTGGTCTCGCCAACTGAGCGGACGGAATGGAACTGGGAGACATCAGTGGGCGACCGAAATAGTACATTATCTCCCGCTCAACATCATATCACAAAACAAAGCAAAAAAGAAAGTGAATTTTTCCTTTTTCAAAAGTTATTTTATAACATTGCACAATGTCCACGCTTGGGAAGAGCTCTTTTAATGCTAGTTTATTAACCAAGTTTTCCAACTGCGTCGGGGACGAGTGGCCCCCTCACTCCGGCTCAGCCCAACTGGTAGTACTCGGGCGCAAAGTCGTTGGCCAGGTTGGAGAGGAAGTTGAAGTCGGACGAGCTGTTGCTGTTGTCGTGCAGGTCCTGGTGCGTCGTTGTGGCCGTCGTCGTCGGCTGACCCTGGTGCTCGAAGAACTGGTACGGCGAGCAGATGTCGCCCGAGCTGGACGGCGGCGTGAGCACGCAGGCCGCGGCCACGCCCGGGAACTGCTCGGCCGGGTACTCGTAGTACCCCTGCTTGGAGTACTCGTACCCGCACTGCTGCGCCGCCTGCATGCCGCCCTCGGTCGGGTAATACCCAACTTGGTCGTGCTGCTGCGGCTGCTGCTGCATCTGCTGCTCGCCGTACTGGTAGCCCGGGTAGTACCCGGCGGCGGCGGCGGCATCCTGCTCGGGGAAGCAGGCCGCCTGCTGCTGCTGCGGCTGGTAGTTGTGGTGGCCGTTGTGGGCGGCGGTGGCGGCGGCCGGGCCGCCCACGGCCACGCCCCCGGCCACTCCCCCCGCCACGCCCCCCGCCGCGGCCCCGCCCCGAGTGAAAGGGTTGGCGTGGTACTGGTCGTACGCCCCGAGGCCGCCGGCCAGGCCGCCGCCGTTGTACGACGCGTAGCCGGCGTGGTAGTTGCTGGCCTGCTGGTAGGCCGCCTTGTGCTGCGGGCGGCCCGGCGCGCCGTTGAGCCGGTGGTGCAGCTGCTGCGGCTGCGGCTGCGGCTGCTGCTGCTGCTGTTGGCGGCTGTACGGCGAGTCGGCCGGGTACCCGAACCGCTGCTGCTGCTGGGGGTACGGCGCCTGGCCGGCGGGGCTGTAGCAAGCCGCGGGGTCCGGGCTGCCCGCCAGGACCTGCTGCGCCTGCTGCTTGCCGGCCCGGAACTGCGCCGCCACCGCCCCGCCGCCCGCCGCCACCCGGAAGTCCTGGTGTGGCTGCGGCCGCACCGCGGCCTGGTGGGCCATGCCGGAGGCCTGAAAGCGAAACAGAGCTTCGTGAGACACGGGCAGGGCGGATAACACCGGAAAGGGGAACGAATTGGGCAACACGGCCTCTGTCAATCGCGAGCGATAAGCCGGGGTGTCCGGAGGCATAATACGGGCGTCATCCGGTGTAATCCAGGGGTAATCCAGGAGCATACTCCAGGGGGACTCCGAGTTATCCGGGGTGTCGGAGCAGGGCCTGGGAGAGTACTCACCGGGAACATGGCGTTGGGTCCTGGGAAGCGCGCGCCGGCCTGGGCGCCGGGGCCGCCGCTGGGGGCCGGGGCCTGGGGGCCGGCCGGAGAGGAGCGCGGCCGCGGCTGGTGGTAGCCGCTGGCGCCCTGGGGGGCCGGCGCCCCCGCGGGGCCCTGGGCGGCGCCCTGCGGGCTGGCCTGCTGCGGCGTGGCGTGGGGCGTGCCGGGCAGCGATGGCGTGAGGCTGCCGCCCGACCCCCGCGGCGGCTTCACGACCTCGGGGGACTCCTTGACGCCGCCGGGGACGACGCCCGGGCCGGGACCGGGGCCTGGACCGGGGCCGAGGCCGCCGGGGCCGAGGCCCGGCGTCCGTGCGGTGAGGCAGGGCGGGCTCTGGATGCCGGCCTCCACCTTAACGTTGACGTCCGACGCCGAGGTGCCGGCCGGGGGCTTGGTGCGCGCCGTGGCCAGGGGGGCCCCCAGCCCCAGCGGGGTGGCGCTGCCGTCATGCGAGCGCGAGTCCTCCTCCTGCGCCTGCGAGAGGCTGCTGGCCACCGAGCTGGCGCCGCTGCTGCTGTTGTTGTTGAAGCTAGAGTTGTTGTTGTTGAGGCCGGCCAGGCCCGGCAGGTCCGACGGCAGGTCGCAGCCCTGGCAGCTCTTCTTCTCGTCCGCCTTGGACCGGCCCGGCGCGTCCTTCGAGTCCTCGTCGTCACCGCTCTTGCTCAGCGTCTGCCGCTTGTGCTTCATGCGGCGATTCTGGAACCAGACCTTCACCTGCGGGGCATGGAGAGAATCGATATGAGTTTTGGTTAAACTGAGACAGATGACTGCTCATCTAACAGAAATGATGATTCTACCTAATTTATCTTTTAAATTTTTTTCGAATTGTAAGTTAAATCTGGTACGCATGGGAATTGACAGAGCAAGTTCGATATAAAACTTAAAAGCAATAATAATTGAATATATTAGAGAGGTGACTTTTGGTTATCCGGAGGTGTGCCGGTGGCGCCCTCTGCGGACCCCCCCCCCCCCTCTCCCAGACCTGGCTGGTTCTTTGCCCTATCAGCTAGAGGATAGGACTCTACTATTAGCGACCCACCCCGCCACCTGGACTGGCCCTCGACTATTTAATACCCTATGCTAGTCCTGCTAGAAAGGCACCACCACCAAAGCTGCTATTTATGGCACCTTTAGAACCTTTAAAAGCACTAGTGCAGCAGCATAAAAATACAAGCAGCACCTTTGTCTTTCTAGTGATCTCGTTTCGCGCTTTTGAGGGCGAATAGTCGGGCCGAGGGGAACAGGACTAACACGCACATGTACTATGATAAAAGAAAAGTTGAGTTTGTCGGAATTGGAGCTAGAACCGCTCGTTGCATTGCGTGCACTATGCCCGCCGAGGGTCCGAATTAGGTAAGGACCGCTGGCGGCTCGCCAATCGGATGCACGGCGGGTTGAGCGTTGAGCGGGGCGTACCGGGCGGGGTGGGGCGGGGCGGGGGCTACGGTGCGGCGTACCCGGCTGACACATTACGGTGGACTGAGCAGGCAATAATGGAGTCGCAAATATCGCCTAAACCGCCTTTGATTGCAGGGCCCTCGGCCGCACGCCCCGCCCAACCCTGCCCCTCCCCGCTGCGCCCTCGCCCTAGCTCTTACTGAGGGATTACCATAGCTCCCCCCAAAGGATATATATTTTTCGGAACGGTTTTTATCAAACCGCGGCGATCAGATTCACCTTGAGAGTGAGTTGGAGTAGGGGAGGGGGAGGGG